TCTCTTCGGTGTCTAATTTCCGCCCTGACACAGGCGGGCGGAGGTGATCTCTTATTTAGGTTCGCTAGTTCAGTTCAGTCCTGCTACGGGGAGGGCGGGGCGCTGCAGACAGATACCGCTCTGTGTGGATTGCGCTCACCGTGTTCTGGTCACACTGGGTTTGCCCCGCTCACGGGTGTCAGTGCATTCCCCGTCTACACTGCTCAGGCTCCCGGCTGCTCTATATGGAGCGGGCCCTGCGTTGAGTGCGGTTCCAGTTTTCGAGTACTCCACAAAAGCGCAGATTCGGTTACGCCTACGTTTTGTGCCTTCCCCGGCCTGAACCGTTCAGGCCGCCAGAGGCTTGGGCGCACTCTCCCCAGATGCGGCGCGCCTTTTCCCTCCGCGGCCCCAGCGCACACCTCCAGTCGGGTCTCAGGAACTCTTTAGATAGGAACTGGGGGCCTGTTTGCAGTGTGGGAGGGGGTGGCTTCTCAGGGGCTGAGTTTGCCCTTTTCCCCTCCCCCCTGCCTCCTACCTCCAGCGGGGATGGGCCGGCTCTTCTCTGGAGTTTCTCATTCCCTTTGTTTTGTGAACTGCTGGCAGTGTGTTCAGGCCAGTTCACTAAAAATTTTAAAATATATCTTTTCCTTCAGTGAAATTTACTAGAGAAGGTAGAGGTTGTCAGAATATGTCTGACCTTAGTACTCTAAGAAGATACTATAGCAAATGCTGGGTAAGTGAAACTTAATTATCAAATATTTATTTGCCAGATAAATTTGAATACCAAACACTTTTCTAGGAATTGAATTCCTAATAGTGAATAAGAGAAGAATCCTTGCCTCTTGGATTTTTTATTCCAAGTTGGACAGAGGAGCTATATCAAAATGAAATAGGTAATGGTGACTGAATAACAACAGACAATAATATATAAGTGCTGTGCTCAGTCATGTCTGACTCTTTGCAACCCCATGAACTACAGCCCACCCGTCTTCCTCTGTTCATAGGATTTCTCAGGCAAGAATACTGGAGTGGGTTGCCATTTCCTACTCCAGGGGATCTTCCCAACCCAGGGATTGAACCTGTGTCTCCTGCATTGGCAGATGGATTCTTTACACCGTTGTGCCACCTGGGAAGCCCATGTATAAAGGAGAGTCTTACAGATGTTGTGAAAAAAAACTGATTGAGATAGAGAAATGAGGGCAGAGAAATTTTAGCTGGAGTGGGCAGTAACGGCCTCTCTTGTGAGGTGATGTTTGCACCAAAACCTAAAATGAGGGAATAAGCCATATGTGTACTCAGAGGGAGACAACTTTTCATTTAGAGGGACTAGTAAGTGCAGAAACCCCAAGGCAGAAAAATGTTCAAGGAAAATCAGAGTCCAGTCAGTGTAGCTCAGTCAGAATGAGCAAGGAAGAATGGTTAAGAGATAAGATGGTAGCCAGGAGTCAGATCGTGTACGTATGTAAGCAGTGGAATGAAGATTTTACATTTTAAGTGAGATGAAAAGTTTAAGTACTTCGGAGGAATGAAATGATCAGATCTACATTTTAAAAATGAAAAGTGGCAGTGGTATGGAATATAGATTTGAGAGGAACTGGGGAAGGACAAGGAACCCAGTTAGGAGACTTTAGCCATCTTCCAGAATAGGGATTGTAAAGACTTGGGTTAGCTGGGAGCATTAGAAGTGGTCAGAAATAGTTAGACTCGTGATGTGTTCTTAAGGTGACTGGGTAGGATGGAGACAGAAGATTCAAAGGGTGAGTCCAAGACGTTTGAGCCAAGCAACTAAAGCAGTGTGTGGCACAGTTTACTTAGTTGAAGTGAACCCTGGTAGAGGAACAGATCTGTGTAAATTTATTTTTATATTTATTTATAGATAATTGATATTTATTATAGATAAACCTTATGTTAGTATTGGTGATATTAGTCTTGAACATGTGGAGCCTACTGGCTTTCTCTTAAGTAAAATTACAGTTTCCTCTTGTAATTAATAAGTATCTTAGGGGAGATGCTGTGAGACTGTGCAAGTATTAATAGTCTCAAACTTCCACCCACTGTTTTTAGCATCATTGGTGGATCTTGTTTTTTCGTCTGAATTATTAGTTGAAGTTCTTGTTTAATGAGCTCTTCCTCCTTCCCCATTTATTAAACTGTTTTTATTGGGACTTAGATTTTTTTAAAACTTTATTTTATATTGAGGTATATCTGATTAACAATATTGTGAAAGTTTCAGGTGAACGGCACAGGGACTCAGCCATATATATACACGTATCCATTCTCCCTCATATTTCCCTCCCATCCAGGCTGTTACATAACATTGAGCAGAGTTCCATGTGCTGTACAGTAGGTCCTTGTTGGTTATCTATTTTAAATATAGCAGTATGTACATGTCCATCCAAACTCCCTAACTATCCCTTCCCCCCAACATTCCCTCCCCCCAACCCCTCTAGCAACCATAAGTTCATTCTCTAAATCTGGGGGCTTTATAGATATTTAATTCTAGGTTTGAAAGAAAAGTGAAAGTGAAGTTGCTCAGTCATGTCTGATTCTTTGTGACCCCCTGGAGTGTAATCTGCCAGGCTCCTCCGCCCATGGGATTTTCCCAGCAAGAATACTGGAGTGGGTTGCCATTTCCTTCTCCAGGGGATCTTGACCCAGGGATCGAACCTGGATCTCCCACACAGCAGGCAGACTCTTGACCGTCTTTACCAGGGAAACCTGGTATTATTTTCTAGGTTTACAATATAATATTATTAATTCGTTGCTTAAATTGTTCCAGTATAGGCCGTAAGAGTTGCTTCAGGTTGGCTCCTGTGTCCTTTTGACATGTCCCTATCATTTTTTGAGGACTTCTCTGAGGAGCCATGGTTTCTTTTTATTTGAAAACTGTTTAGAAACTAAGATCTAGGCACGAGGTGTGCTGATTGCTCCTGGGTTGTTCTTTAAGCTAGACTTTTTCAGCAGGCAGACTTAGAAAACATGTTTGCTAACCCACATATACACGTATACATATTTCTATGTCTATTTACATACGGATTAGTATATTTTATGTGTAGGTATAAATCATGAGTTCATACTGACACCAGTTCCAGTTCAATACCACAGTATTAGTTTCAGCCCTTTCTGTTCTTTATTTGTAACTTCTTTCTCCTCTGGTAAGAATCTCTGCTCTTACTATCTATAATAGATTTACTTGTTTTTTCAGTCTTAGCATATGCATAGTTTCAGAATTGCTATAAGAAATAGATTTACTAGCTAAGTTATATTGCTTGTGTGTGATTCTTTTTGTCTTTGGAGCTTCCCTAGTAGCTCAGATGTTAAAGCATCTCCTGCAATGCTGGAGACCTCAGTTTGATCCCTGGGTCGGGAAGAGCCCCTGGAGAAGGAAATGGCAACCCACTCCAGTATTCTGGCCTGGAGAATCCCATGGACAGAGGAGCCTGGCGGGCTATAGTCCATGGGGCCTCAAAGAGTCGGACATGACTGAGCGACTAACACATACACACACACTTTTTGTCTTTAGCCGCAAGGTATCCAGTCAAAGTATTCTTTTCCAAATGTACCTTGGTTAATTATTTTCTGCTCAGCTCCTTTCAGTGTGGTCATGTCGTCCATTTGTAATGCTCTTAGGTCATTTTTTTATTGTGTAAATTGGGTTATTCCCACATTTTGTGTGGTTTAAATGGTGGTTTTTTGAATATATGAAACACTATTATAGTTCTAAGAGTCAGAGCTATACCAAAAGATGTACTCAGAGGCATTCACTACCAGGATTTAATGCCAAGTCTCAGAACAAATTCTATCAAATGTACTGAATAGCATTTATTAAACATTCATTCATGAATGACACATAACAGTTCATATAATCTGTTTTTTAGTTTTCTCGTTTTTGGTACTCTGACCACAATTTTGCCTGAAAAGTTCGCTCAAGGTAGACACCAAATTTCAGAGGCAAGCTTTTGTAACTTTTATGGTTAGCATTAGCAACTAGAATTTCTTCTAAACCAGGGACTGGATGCAGATCATTTAGAGATAATGCCTCAAGTGCTGTCTCCAAGGTTGTTAGGAGTATAAGCCAAACTGAATCCTTATGCTGTTTCTTTTTCTTCTTTTTAAAAATTTTGGTAAAGTATTCATAATATTTTGACCATTTTTAAGGATATAGTATATAGTTCTGTGCAGTAAGTATCTTTGCATTGTTGTGTACGCATCGTCTCTATCTATTGCTGGGACTGTTTTATCTTTGCCCACTGAAACTCTGTGCTCACTAAACACGTAACTGCCCACACCTGTTTACCACCCTCTGCTGGTGCCACCCTTGCTCTTGATAAAGTTGAGTGTTCTGGAAACCATGTATGTTTTAGTCTGCTGAGGCTGCCATAACAAAATGCCATAGGCTAGGTGGCTTAAACAACAAATATTCAGTTCTCACAGTTTTGGAGGCTGGATTATCTAAGATCAAGATGCTAACTTATTATTTTACTGGTGAAGGCCCTTTCCCTGACTTGCAGACAAACCACCTTCCCACTGTGTCCTCACATGGCCTTTCCTTGGTCTCCTAATTCAGTGGTTATCAGGGTCCCACCTTCATGACCTCACTTAACTTAATTACCTCCTTATAGCCCTATTTCTCAATACAGCCACATTCAGAGTTAGATTTTGTCATGAATTCTGGGGGTGGTGGGGGTGGGGATGGAGGACACAAATTCAATCCATAGCATAGTATAAGATGAATCATACTATATTTTCCTTTTTGTTATTGACTTACTTCATTTAGTGTAGTGTCATCAAGGTTCATCCATGTTGTATCAGAATTTCCTTCCTTTCTTAGAATGAAGAGTATACCATTGTGTATTTGAAATGCTAGTTCTTGTTCAGTTGATAATCAACTTCATTTACACACTTGAAAGGAGCATGTTGGCTTACCTGCTTTCTAAGGACCTTACACTTGTAAGAATCTATGATTTTAAATGTGGTAAATGAATGTGCTGCAAATGTAAACATGCACCATTCATTGTAAAAGAACAAGGACTAGAAAGGATATGCCAGCATTTTAATAATGATTGTCTTTAAGTGATTCAATCTGGGGACTAGGTAAGAGGAGGTTGAGTTACAGTTTTGATTTGGTAAAACACTTTATTGACATGTATTATTTGGATTTTGCATTAATTTTATATTGTGGGGAAATAATGCGGAATATAACTTTTTCCCTTATGAATTTGAGTGGTTCATTATTCATGTGTTTTAACTTTAGAGCTGTACCCTTTCTGGAGGGAAACATCATGGACCTGTTGAAGCCCTGAAGCAAATGTTGTTTAATCTTCAGGCAGTGCAAGAAAGTTTCAATCAGAATAAAACTGCAGAGCCAAAAGGAGAAATTAAACAAGTAAGCATAAACTTAATTTATGAATTGAAATCTATGAATGCAAATTGAGATCTGTGAAGGATACGATTTCCTCCTAGATCTTCTTGTAGATTTTCCCTCTAGTTTTTTGTTAATAAGCATGGTATATAGTGAACAAACATTTAGAGGCATACTTTAGGACTGTTGCAAAATAAAGTTATATTTTTAGAATTAAAAGTATATATATTACTGAAAATTATTTACTAGATTTATTTCTTTGGGAACACAGACAATATTTTTAATGTGTTCTTGTTAATCACATATTAAATAACATTTACGTTTGTAATTACATAATATTTACACTATTTCATTGTATTTGGTGTTTTCAATTATAGATCTCAGAAGATGATCTCTCTAAATTACAGTTGAAGGAAAGTATGGCTCCTATTACTAGGTCACTTCAAAAGTAAGTGTTCTCTGTTAATTTCTGAGTGTATTATGAATACAAATCTGTTTTAGTTTGCTTCGATTGAAATCAGAAGGTTACAGGGTGGAATTAAGTAGCTCTAAGAAGGAAGAATGTACTAGGTATATTTAAGCTTTCTGGAGCATGTTGTTTAACCCTGAGACTTTTCTTTTAAACGTGTACTATTTTCTATTTAAAATATTCTTAGGGTTTAATGAGATAACAGTGGACACTTAAAATATAATAGATGTGAATGGCCTGGAGAAATTTTCTTTTTCCCTTCTGAGTAATATCAGCAATTTGAGAGAGCAGTGATATGGATATTCTGGAAGGACAGCTTGTGCTTGAGATGTGTTGTCGTGTGTTCTCTCTAGAAGAGGTAAATAATTGTATCATTGTTTGATATATCTCCACAGAAATCTAAAGTGAATATAATGCCCTGGATGTAAAGATAGGTCCAAATGTCCTAAGGTGTTAATTTACTTTTTTTCTTAGTTACATTATCTTAAAAGTTGGAAAGAATGCAGTTCTTTCTTATAGTCATGATATTGGTGGAAGAGAAGGTTATATTTTATAGATTTGGTTGTGTGAATATGAAGTGCCCTCAAAAAGATGGAATAGGCAGTTTAGTAAATGCTAAGATTAAAATTTTTTACTTTGTAACATTATTTTGCTTGGCTGTAAGTGGGCTAGACAAATACTGACTACCATTTGTCCTTTCAGAATTGCTTAGGATTCTCTTATGTAAGGAAGCAGTGGAAAAGTGAAATCCTAGACATGTAAATTTATAATTGTCATGAGAAAGATATGTATATCATTTTTGTTTTCATACTTTAAAAAATATGTATGAATTTCTGCCTCTATTCTAGGTAGAAATAACGCCTCTTTCTTTGTTGCTTGTCATAGTCTTGGCTATAACGTTTCATATCTAATAGGGTTCAGTGAGTAGTGATACTAATAACTAACCTTTATTGAACATTTACCAAGTATCAGTATTCTTAGTGCTTTTGTATGTAATTCATGTGATTTTTACAACCCTGTGAGGTAAGTACTATTTGCTTCATAATACAGATCAAGTAATAAAGTAACTTGCTCAAGGCTGCCTGGCTAGTAAAACAGCACTGGAATTCAAACCAGACAGATTCTACAGTCTGTGTTCCTAATACTACTCTCATTAATGATAGTGGTGCATTATCCTTTTAGTCTCTGTGCAGTACCTCAATTGATTATCTTCGATAAAGACCTCATTCTGCTTTAAAATTTAAAGTAGATGACCTCAGGCTTTCCACAGTTCTTAAAAACATTGATATTGAACTTGTGTCACAAGACTTGTGTGTTTCCTGAGTTAAAGTACATAGCCCAGAAGATGTTTTTCTTGGTGGAAATGAACTCTGAACCATACGTAGTTAACCACAAAAATTGATACTGATTGTACAGGTGCTTTTACCATTTTCTGTAATTTTTTTTATAGTAGTAACTTTTTTCTAGCTTAGACCATCAGTAGTTTGTCTACAGAATGCCAGTAAGAGTCCAGTTTTGTTAGATGGGTCTTAGCTGTTGATTCTTCTGGATTAGCTGAGGCAACCTTAATTTGGCTTTTATTTTACATTTGAAAGTTTTATCAGTAAGGCATTTGTAGTATTATGAAGTAAGTTTAGATTTATGAAGAAAGCATGTCATTTCCCCTTTCCCCCTTATTTTCAGTCTTAAGATAGACTGTTTTTAGGACAGCTTAAAATTAATTCAGTCTCAGAATTTCTCTTACAAGACTGCAAAATATCTGTTTAGGATTATGGTCATCTTTTCATACTTTAAAGGAACCCAACTTTTGCAGAAGTTATGGTTGTATTTTAGGTGCTTTAGTTACTTTTCTCGGGTGTTTCTCCCCAATCCTCAAATAACTGGATTTTCTTTCTAACAGTTTGGATTGCTAACCAGTTCATTAAAATACCTTTCATTAACTTTAGGAAACTCCAGGATCTTGGTATGGGTTCTGTTTACTCCCCTGGACACTCAGTTTTCTTAGGTTCTCCTATTAGAAATAACAGAGAAAAAGGTTCATTGGACCTGAAGTATAAATGGCTGATACAGCTGAAGATGTTATTTTTTCCAGAAAGATTTTGCTTTTAATAGGAATTAGTTATATTTGTTTTGTATCCCTATAATACTTAGTTTTGTCTTATGTATTTGCATATTAAAATTATCATCTTTAAGCAAATGAAAGAATTGGTTTTTGAGCCAGTACCTTTTTGGGGATGTTTTATTATGTCGAATAAGCTTAGGCTGTTTATAAAAAATGAGCAGTTGCATGTTGTTCACATACTATATAGGTGAGCAGTGGTGGATGATTGCAGAATTATCAGTCCTCCAAAAATAATTTGTTTTGGCCTCAGGACATGTAGTTTTATATATTAATTGGAGATAAATGTGTAAGAATTCTCAATAATAAAGGTCATGTTGTGAAGACCATGCTTAATGATAGTTGGAAAATTGTCTTGTTTCTCAGATCTCCTTTCCTGCCCAGTTTTCTGGTGTTCATTCTATACTAGGGATAGACAGAATTAGCTCTCAGACTTGGAAAACATGACCCTAAAGGAAAGATTTTTCTTTATTCTAATGTGCTCGTTTGTTACTTAGATCTAGAAAATAGTAGGCAGTTTGTCCAGAAAAGCCTTTTGTTAAGTTCTTGCTGGATACTAGGCTGAATATTGGTCAGTAAACATAGTCTTTAAGAGAACAGCCAATATAGTAGTACTAATAGAAACGTAAATGCAAGGTAGCAATAAGTAAATTAAAATATAGCTGAATTGTTATCATATAATCAGTGTTACTGAGTTTCTGGGGATTGATTTGTATGTATTTGAATGGTCATTGGTAGATACATTGTCAAAATAAGAAATGAGTTTTTAAATTTCAGTTTTTAAAGTGAATGATTACTCAGTGTTGTAATATAATCCTTAAGTTGATTTTTTCCCCCATTAACCTGCTTTTTCACTTTTTGACAGAAGAAAATCAAGAAAAATTTCCTTCTGCAGCTTTATCCTTCCCTTTTCCCTTTCTTACCTTTGAAATACCAATCACTTTTGATAGTCTTTTCTAAGCTTTATTCTCAAAAGAGTTAGATGAAAGAAACTGCCAACTGATTGTGTAACTGAGGTAGAGCGACTAAAGGTTTCATATTTCTACTTAGCTTTTTTATTCCTTTCATTACCCACCCCCCTTTCTACCTGACATTGTGTTTTAAAGGCATAAAATATACTACATGAGATTAGAAAGGAAACCGGTTACAGTGGATTAATTATGGAAATATTTAAATACATTTCTGATTAGTGATATATGCTTCTCTATTGCATTTAAAATAAGACAATACATTTAAAATACAGGTAAGTTAAAATTCATTTTGTAGAAACGTGTATTATTGTGAAGGCCTTTTGCATAACTTGAATAAAAGCATTAACCAGTTGTGTGGTCTTTTACTTAACCTTTCACATGTTGATCAGCAAGCACTTAAAGAGAATATTGGAAGACATTGATGTCTGGGTCACCACTGAGACTTCACTGTTTGGTGGCTGAACAACTAGACTTAAAATTCCAATAGTTACCTAGTTATGTCGTATGAACTTTTGGACTGAGGCAGAAAGAATCAGAGTACCAAAAAAAAAAAAAAAAAGAATGAGAGTACCTGTTTTACAGCAGTGGATTTAATAACTTGTAATTTTGTAACTATTATATAAACTTGTAATTTTGGAATAGTCATGAGGATAAAACATACCTGCAATGACTTATGTGATATGAAAATATCTCTGACTTCTGTGGCATATGAGATCACTTTGGTTTGTTGCTTACATTCATAATGGAAGGAAATGCTAATTTAGAGATAGCATTTAGTAAAAATAAAGATAATTTTTTCCCCCCATCCCATTGTAATGATCCTTAAAATCTAAAGAATCTGTGGTCCTCCAATTTGTAAACAGTGAGATCGGATTTTAGCCATTTGTCTTTCTGTATCTTGAATCACAGCCTGAAAAGAAAAAGGAAGATATGCCCCAGCTATTACATTTACAGATTTTATTCTTCCTCATAAATGTGTGTCTAGGAAGAAGAAAATTCTTTAAGTAGAGATTATTATAGGATGTAGAAATAATAAAGTCTAGTTTTACCTCTAATTGTTTAGTAACCCTGGGTGAGTTATTGTCATTTAGTTAATGAAGATGACAGTCTCAAAAATTAACAGAAGCTGTTGAATGGGTGCCAGAATTCAGATTCTTACTACATTTGAGTGTCTAAAAGTAGAGATACGATGTAATATAGTACTTAACACTACTAGTTTCCTCCATCTTCTTACTCTTAAAGTGGAGGATGTATTTTATTTATTATACATCATTGTAACATCTCACTGATCTCTCACCTTAGAGATTACTGTACATCATAATTGTTATATTATTTCTGTTTTTCTTAGTCTCTTGTTTATCAGAGACATATTTTTGGATGGTTGATTAACTTATATTTTCTGAGTGACCCTCAAGGATCTGAAAGGTAGGGGAGAGGGAAAGCTGGAAGAATACTTTCAGAGGAAGACTGGAAAGTTAAGGGTTCCTGTCTTCTTGGTTGGTCTGAGGAATGATTGGGAAGACCAGGTTGCTGGTATAATACTACATTATTCAATGTAATGTAATTGTCATTTGTTTTCCCCATGCTCAATAAAAATGAGTTTTCCTCAAATGTAACTGATTCTTTAGTGCTATTTTTAAAATTTTAGCTGCCTTGAATGTATATGCTAAAAATGAATTATGTCCTTTATTTCTTAAATGATATACTTAGTATATCAGAAGGCTTCATCTCTGAAAATTACATGGAAAAGATGTTTTAAGTGTGATACAAATGATACCTGTTACTGTTTTTTATTAGGCTACTTGGTACACTTAAAAAAGAAAATCTTTAAATGTCAAACATAAGTTTTTATCTGTTTATAGAACTTTAGATGAATTATTTTAGCCCTGAGTTATTCAGATTGCAAGGTTTCATAAAAATTTTCATAGTTTTGATGCTAAACATATTCCGTAAGTTTATCTCTTATACTGATTTTGAAGTTAATAAACAATGTAATGACCATTTCTTACTGTCTGCATTACCTATTCAGTCCTTGATGTTGGTTGATAATGTGTTTTATACTTTTTAATGAAGGGCTTTGCACCATTTATCTCGCCTGAGAGACCTGGTTGATGATACCAGTGGGAAACAGTCACCGAAAATATGAAGAGGAAAATAAAAGTTTAACCAATAAATAGTCACCACAGAACAAAATGTATTTTTTTTCATATCGCTTAAACTGACAGAGTTACCTATAAGCCATACATTATTCTGTGATTGGTTCAAGTATTACGTATTTTTTAAAAACCAGACTTGAATACGTCCATGTATTTTTTTGTGGCCTGTCCTCATTTTGTGCCAAAATACCAGAGGTGAATTGGGAGGACCCATAGTCCTAGTCTGACTTTGGTCTTCAGGCTATCATATGTCTAATAGTCAAAGATGGATGGTTTCTGTTCTTGAAGCTAACCTGGACTTAAACCTTCTTCAGCATCCTCATGATTTTATCATCTGGTTCTGGATCATTTAGAAGCTTTTCCTGGCTTCTATCCAAAATCTCTTAATTAAATAGGCTCATAAAGTTAGCATCCAACATAAGAAGCTTAAGGAATATCAAAATTGTTGATGTATCTTATCCACATGGAAGTATGTTACTTTCATAAAGCAAGCATTTAAGAATATGTTATATTTGCAAATAACATTAATTGATGGAGTGCTAAAAGGAATGTTTTATATTGTGAATTCCAGGGAAACCTCATTTAATTAATGCTTTGATTTTATGTGAGATAATTTGACAATACTTGACAGTTTTAAAAACATATTGTGGGGGATATTTAAGAATTTAATATTTTGATATTTCTTAGATTTAAATTTTGAGGTTAGCTCAAACTAGTAAAAACTATATTTGACCAATTCCTTTATGAAATTTGGTAACTGAAATGAATATCAAAAATCAGTAACTATATTAAAGCTATTTTGTAAGTGCTGAACTTTTATTTAAAGCAATCTGTAGTCTTGAAGATTTGTCACTAGGTAGAACTAAACAAACCTCTCTAATTTTGCAACTTCTGCCAAGTGAGCTTCTGATGAGCAGGAAGTATGTTTGCTAACAAAATGAAGAAATAAGTCAAGATGTGGTGAAGTATATTAAAAAAAGCCTGATGAAATTAAAGAGTATGTATGTATACAAATTAACACTACTCAAATTTTGGAGCATTTTTTGCTAGTACCTTTACTATCAAGAATTTCTAAGCACATTGGGTGAAAGAATTTCTGCCCCCTCACCTCAATTAAAACACCATATAAGACCTTGGTTACAGAAATTACATGTCAAAGACTGTAGAGTGAATCATAGTCACTACTGTTTTTTTTGCCCAGTTTGAGAGTCACTTGCTAGTTAGTTTGTTTTGTTTACTCTGGATGTGTTTTTGCCACCGACATTCAATTTTCTAATTATGGTCTGCTTCACAGCAACTAGTTTGCATACAATGAAACAAGACATTACTTTGATGATTGTAATGTGGTTGGCCATTAAGTGTGAATGGATTGATTTTAAGTTGGATGAATTGAGCTTTTTAAGTGGATGAATTAATGGATCTGAGTTGAGCATGTTTCAGTGAAATCCAGGATTTGATGAATTCTAAAAGCACAGCAGATACCAGGTAATTATGTATTCCATGTTGGTCAGACATGATACACTTACTGTACATAGACGGGATCTGCAAAGGGTCTAAAGGCACAGCAGATACCAGGTAATTATGTATTCCATGTTGGTCAGACATGATGCCCTTACTGTACATAGACGGGATCTGCAAAGGGTCTAAAGGCACAGCAGATACCAGGTAATTATGTATTCCATGTTGGTCAGACATGATGCCCTTACTGTACATAGATGGGATCTGCAAAGGGGCTCTGCTTAATGACTCTGTAACACTGATTCGGTTAGCGCTTCATTTGCAAAAACATCCCCAGTACTAAGTAAGATAAACTTGTTCTAGAATTTTAACTGATATTTTAAGAAACTTGATGATACTTATCCCAAAGTTTTTTGTATTAAATATGAAAGTTTTAAGTTTTTTAGTAAAAAGAAAACTTTTAATGATTAATTGTAACCTTTAAAAAATATCAATGATTCAGTAATAAAAATGTAAATGATAAATGTTCAATAAATTATTTAAGGAATTTAATTGAATATTTTAGCATTTTTTTGAGATTTCCAAAAAAAAGGAGACATCATTGAGACAACTGAGTTGGGAATTTAAGGCAATTAGATTTTAAGAATAGCATTGTGAATATAAGCCTTTATCAACCTTTTTCTCTCTTTTGGTGTATTGGAAAATATTGGATAGAAAAAGTGATAAAACTTTAATGACATTTCAAGTTTTTAATTGAGTATGAAAAAATTGAACAAACTTAATTACAAAAATTATTTGACATCCAGGGATAAAACTGTGATGAATATGTGAAGACTTGAGCTTAACTACATTTTCTTTGTTATCAGTAGGAACTCTTCATTTTTTTCTGGGATAATTCATTTCAGATTTGCAGAGATTTCTGACCACATCAAGGAACTCTGTGTTGGGTTCATTTGGGTTGTGTGTTTCTCTCTCTAGTTATTTCTTGTTGAAATTTATAAATGTGGGTTTTGCGTATTTTGTATAATTAATGTTTGGGATAATGTTCAATCATAAATGTAAATCATATGTAGTTATACCAAAATGTTGCCTGAAGAGAAGTCATGGCAAGATTTTCTTCCCCCGATGTTTTGCATATGTGGACTCATAGTTTTGGTTTTTAGGTTTCCTCTTTTTCTGTCCTGCTTTTCACAATGTCTCAAAATCTCTTTGGTAGAAGTGCTCTCAGAAGTAAACTTGCCAAGGGGGGTGGGCTGAATTGGGGGGTTGGGATTGACCTATATAATACACTGTGCTGTGCTTAGTCGCTCAGTCATGTCTGACTCTCTGCGGCTCCATGGACTGTAGCCCGCCAAGCTTCTCTGTCCATGGGGTTTCTCCAGACAAGAATATTGGATGGGTTACCATGCCCTCCTCCAGGGGATCTTCCCAATCCAGGGATCGAACCCAGGTCTCCCACACTGTAGGTGGATTCAGTACCTTCGGAGCCATCAGGGAAGCCCAGGAATAATGGAGTGGGTAGTCTATCCTGTCTTCAAGGGATCTTCTGACCCAGGAATGGAATGGGAGTCTCCTGCATTGCAGGCAGATTCTTTCCCGGCTGAGCTACCAGGCAAGCCCATATGATAACACTTCAATGTATAAAGTAGGTGACTAATGAGAATCTACTGTACAGCACAGGGAAACCACTTTGCTCTGTGGTGACCTCAATGGGAAGGGAATCTAGAAAAGGGGATG